TTATATTTCTTTAATTTTATTTTTTTATGGTGGTAGGTGTGTGTAGTCTTTCAGGTGTTACTTTGATTTAGGGTTTTGTTTGAGCTTATTATTTTTTTGATTGTTTGACAGCAGCTTGTTGTCACTAATTGCTGGCACATGGAATGTGTGAGGCAGGTCCATCCTTTGAGAGAGGAGCAGGGCACAGATGTGTGAACTGGTGACATTGGTCTCAGCTGATCTCTGCACTGCAGTTAACATTTATTTTCTGAGACCTCCAGTAGATTATCTAATTCCAACTTCATCTTCCCACCAGTTTGATGAACAACACAAAACCTTTTCCCTGTTTTCCCCTCCCTGCCATCCCTGTTGGTGGTGAAGGTCAAGGCTGTCCCAGTGCAGCCCCACTGGTTTGTTCTGCAGTGTCACCTGGGGATTGTGCAAACCCCCCATGCAGGCAGCTGCCCTCCAATGACCCAAATTTCCTCTGAGCAGGATGGAGGGTGGCAGTGAATCGTTCAGCTGGGGCTTGTCCCTCCCTCTGGGCTCTGAGTGCTCTTCCCTGTGAAGCACAGGGCTGGTAACAGCTCCAGAGGCTTCCTGGTGCCATGGGGAGCTCTGGAGCTGTGTGTCTGTACCTCTGGAGCTGCTTGGCAGCACCTTTCAGCAAGGTAGGGGCACAAGCAGGGCCCAGGCAGGACCTTCCCACTGCTGCCTGCTTACAGCTGCATTCCAAACCCTGTGGGGAGGTGTGAGCAGGGTGAGCCCTTCCCCTGCACCATCTGCCCAAGCTTCACTTGGTTTGCACAGAACCCTTCCCTTTAGTCCCTGAGTGCAGCCCAAGTGCTCTGCCAGGCACACAGAGCACCTGTGCCAGCCCCTGCTTCCAGTGACATCCTTTGTATGAGTTTTAAAGCTTCACATCCTCAAGATAATTCTTCATGGAGTCAGGTTTTTGACACTTTATCTGTGTGGATGCATTAAAAAGAGTTTGTGTGGCATTCTTTTGTGAGCTGCTCTTGCTATAGCGTTATCCATCTGCTTTTGTACTGGAATGACAGAAATCCAAGCTTGGGCTAGGACTAACAGCAGCAGGAAACAGTTTTAGTTCTTGCACATATTGGCTGTAGTACTAAATGTTGGTTACTCCCCCTCCCTAAATTCCTGTGTGTGGGATTTGTTGCCACATTTAGTGAAATTCATCAGGATAGAGGTATAAATGTGAAGAAATCTGCTTGAGTTAATTGAAGCTTGGCTTTACTTTCTGACAGAACGTTTTTCCTTGGTGTGGCCTGACTGGCAGGCAGGGCCAGGGCAGGTCAGTGCTCCAGAGGCCAGGCATGGCTGTGCCACTGAACTTCAGATTCAGCAGAGATGAGCACCTGGGGGTGGCAGGAATGCAGCACCTGAGTTATCCCTGTGCAGCTTCACAGTGCCAGGATAGGCTGCTCCAGCAATCTCTGCTAACTTGTCTGCTAAGATTTTTGTATAGTGCTTGCCTCTTTTCTACTTGACCTAGTTTGTGCTTTGCACATTAAGTCAGTTCCTACACTAAAAGCCTTCACTCTCCTACTTCCTTGATGGCTTTCTAGTGCATTGGGTCACCATTCCAGACTGCTATTTTATTTATTTGTGGTCATGTCTTTCATCTAACCTGCTTCAGAGCAAACCTTTATTTTTATTAATTTAATTCTTCCCTGCAGCATTAGTTTGGGAAGATGTGCAATGGCTATCCTGGGCCATTCTTCCTCAAGGCTGAGAACTTTCTCATGCCTGTGAAGTATAATTTTGGTGCAATATGTCTTTTTTTTTTTTTTGCCAGCAAAACTAATCCCAAATGCAGTAGCAGATCTTGAGACAGCAGAGAATTGATGAGCTTGGTAAGATCAGAGAGGAAAAACAGATCTCTGGTAAAAGCAAGCACAGCTTTCAAGGCACTTAGCAGAGGTATAGAGCATTTTAAGTAACACAGATAAATACCTCCCTGGAGCTTTTGCTCTTTCATCTAAGCACAGATCAGAGAACAAATAGGAAAATGTGGGGGCAAAAAACAAAAGCCTTAAAGATGCCAATAAACATTTTTCAAGCTGCAGGTTACTTTCAGCAGTGAAAATAGCAGAAGATGTGTAAGGGGAAAGCAATGAAGCCGTGTGTAAAATAAGGGAAAAGAATGAGATCCGAGGGCTGCAGAAGACTTTTGAATTAAGTGACTGCTGACTTGCTTCTTATAAATGATTTATTTTTATTTGTTCTTGAAAAACATTTTTAATTTGGTTCTGTGCTACACTAAAACACTGGAAATTGTTCGTTACTATCAAAGGTTTTTCAGACAGTGTGTGAGCAAAAAGTGATACCTTTAATGCCCTTGAATTTAGTTTTAAAAGTTCTAGTAACTCTGCATGAAATTATAATATCAGTGGTATTCCAGCTGGTTTTGAGTTTTATATTAATGGACTAGGTCTTAACCCCAGAATTGCTTTATATGCAATCTATACTAGTGGCACACATTCAGTGCAAAATTTCTGTATAATGAACATGTGAGGTGTCAGAGCAAAGCTAGGGGAATGCTTGATTTTTGTGTGAAATGTCACTTAAAGTTGAATGCTTGGGTAGTTCCAGACTTGCTCAGGAAATTCTGCTTTAATCATAAGCTCATCTGCACCTTTGTGTCCAGAATTGCCATCAATACCAAGTGCAGTCCCAGCTTCAGACAACCTTTGCTGTGTTGTGCCAATGTATTGAATTCAAAGCATAAACAAGCAAGTATTTAGTTTAAAAATAGCTCATCCTCATCATTTTGATGTCAGGTCACTGCATTGAACTGATAGGTGCTACACTGAATTCCCACCTGCCTGTAAATAGCAGAGATCAGGTGGTGCAGCCTTAGCAAACCATCCCAGGTACTGAGAGTGTTGGTGGGCACAAACTCTGCAGGCCTGGCTGGAGCTTTGTCAGCATTTTATTCAGTGCTAATGTGGTGCAGCTTTGGTTTCAGGTAATTAATAAGCTAATAAATCATGGGGTGCTTTTTTTGACCCAATGGCACAATTATGTGCATAAGATGCACTTGCATTATGAAGGGAAAGGAGGGCTCAAGACTAGCTTTGTGAGTCTCTCCCTATTAAAGCTCTACAAGGTCAAGCTCAAAAGATTTTTTTCACCTGTTCTGCAAAAATTTGGAGGCTCACATGATGTAACTGGCACAGCCAAGACTGTTGCCAGGTGTGCTGATAGCAATGTCCGTGTTTTCATTCAGTTTTACTCCTGTAGCCATGTCAAGTCCATTTACTGAAATCACAATTTCTAGAATATTCTGTTGTTCTCTGCACCATGCCTGTGTAGGTGCTCCATGCACAGGAATCTTTCTCAAACCCACTGTTTTGTCATGGAAACTGTTGCCCTGGCAGTTGCTAATCCAGAGGAATATGTCAGCAAGTGGTTTCTGTAATCACTGTCATTTTCCACAGGTTTCAGAACAGAAGGTTCATGTTCAGTAACCAGTGCAGGGATGGGATGAATGTCACACATGGCACTGCAGGGTGTTTGCTAATACCTCAAGGAGACTTTAGGACAAAGATCCTGCCCATGAAACAGATGCAGTGACACTTTCTTCTGTGCTAGGAGTATAAATGTCACATTTTTATTTCTCTCAGGCTTGAGAGTTCAGTGTTTGCTGTAGCTGCGGACTGTGAGCCCTCCATTATCTGGGGCTGTGCTGAGCAGAATGGCCTTCCTGTGGTAATAATGGATCATTCTGGAGCAAACACCCTTTTAGGCATTAAAAATGATTCTCAAATAAGTGTGTGGACAAAGAGGAAGGTGAAGGTTTTTCCCAAAGGTTGAGATTTCCTTTGGCCAGATAGGATTTGGTAAATCATAACCCTCAAGGTATGAAGTGGCAGACATGAGCTCTTGTTACCTAGTCCAGTTTCCGGCAAGTCCTAATAAAATCACACTTGTGCCATCATTGCCTGTGCCTTTTTTCAGACCTTGTTTTGCTATTCTTGCTTGGTCTTTGCTTTGCAACATACAACAGTTGTTGAATTTTTTTTAAATCATATTTTCCAGTCTAGAAAAAGACACAATCATTTATGGGGGTTAAACATGGGTGGAGAAAAATTCTCTGAAGAACAGGCATGCATGAGGGTGGAATTCTGACCCAAATTTCCTATAGTTTCCTTGTCTTTTTCCCTTTTATGCTGCACTATGGTGCCCCTTGCCCCAGTGAGCTGCCATCCTGTTTCAGTGCTACTGAGGCAGCACTGAATTTTTTTTTAAAGTTTTAAGGTTTAAAGTTATTTTTATATTTTGATTTATATTGATGGATAAATGATTTTTGTGTGTTTTACATGGGTAATTATTTTAATATTATGAGTTAATAATGTAAGTTTTTAAATTATATGGGTTATTGTGACAGTGTTCACAGGGCTCTTAGGATGAGGGAAGAGACAAGGATCTGACTCCATGTTTCAGAAGGCTGATTTATTATTTTATTATATATATTACATTAAAATGATACTAAAAGAATAGAAGAAAGGATTTCCTCAGAAGGCTGGCTAAGAATAGAATAGGAAAGAATGAATAACAAAGGTTTGTGGCTCGGCTCTCTGTCTGAGCCAGCTGACTGTGACTGGCCATTAATTACAAACATCCAACATGGGCCAATCCCAGATGCACCTGTTGCATCCCACAGCAGCAGATAATCAATGTTTACATTTTGTTCCTGAGGCCTCTCAGCTTCTCAGGAGAAAAAATCCTAAGGAGAGGATTTTTCATAAAAGATATCTGTAACAGGTTATTTTAAATGTTTGATGGAATAATAGCTTACATTTTGTTTTTGTAAATTAAAAATAATTTTTGTGGCAAATGAAGATAAATATAATTAAACGTAGATGAAATTTTAGAAGTGTTATATTAAAAAAATTGGTTTTATATATAGAGTGACATGAAGAAATATATTTTATTATTGATTTTTTTTGAATGCTGTGCTGTGTGCCAACGTGTGCATTTTGCTGTTGCAGTGATCACTGACGGAGGCCTGGACAAGACAGCCCTGACGGACGATGTGGGCAGCGAGGAGGATCTGTACGAGGATTTCCGCAGCTCCACCCACCGCTACGGCCACCCCGGGGGCGGCGGCGAGCAGCTGGCCATCAACGAGGTGGGTGGGTGGGTGTGCTCCTGGCCTGGAGGGCAGGGGCTGCTGGCCTGGGAACATGGCCAGGATGATGGAGCTGATCTGGGACCATGGGCAGGCTGATGGGTCTGACCCTGGGAACATGGGCAGGATGATGGAGCTGACCTCGGACCATGGGCAGGCTGATGGGTCTGGGAACATGGGCAGGCTGATGGGTCTGACCCTGGGAACATGGCCAGGTTGATGGTGCTGACCTGGGACCATGGGCAGGCTGATGGGTCTGGGAACATGGGCAGGCTGATGGGTCTGACCCTGGGAACATGGGCAGGATGATGGAGCTGACCTCGGACCATGGGCAGGTTGATGGGTCTGGGAACATGGCCAGGCTGATGGGTCTGACCCTGGGACCGTGGCCAGGATGATGGTGCTGGGACCATAGGCAGGCTGATGGACCTGACACTGGAACCATGGGCAGGCTGATGGATCTGGAACCATGGCTAAGCTGCTGAGTCTGCTTCTGGAACCACAGCCAGGCTGATGGGTCTGGTTCTGGGACCATGGCCAGGCTGATCGGTCTGGGTCTGGAACCACAGCCAGGCTCCTGGTTCTGGTTCTGGGAGCACAGCCAAGCTGCTGGTTCTGCTAACCACAGCCAAGCTGCTGGTTCTGGAACCACAGCCAATCTGCTGGGTCTGCCTCTGCTTCTGGGACCACAGCCAGGCTGCTGGTTTTGGTTGTGTAACCACAGCCAGGCTGCTGGGTCTGGTTCTGGTAACCACAGCCAAGCTGCTGGGTCTGGTTCTGTTAATCACAGCCAGGCTGCTGGGTCTGGTTCTGGTTGTGTAATCACAGCCAAGCTGCTGGTTATAGTTCTGGTAGCCACAGCCAAGCTTGTGGCCCTGGGACCATGGCCAGGCTGCTGGTTCTGGTTGTGTAACCACAGCCAGGCTGCTGGGTCTGGTTCTGGTTGTGTAATCACAGCCAAGCTGCTGGTTATAGTTCTGGTAGCCACAGCCAAGCTTGTGGCCCTGGGACCATGGCCAGGCTGCTGGTTCTGGTTGTGTAACCACAGCCAGGCTGCTGGGTCTGGTTCTGGTTGTGTAATCACAGCCAAGCTGCTGGTTATAGTTCTGGTAGCCACAGCCAAGCTTCTGGCCCTGGGACCATGGCCAGACTTCTGGTTCTGGTTCTGGAACCACAGCCAGGCTGCTGGGTCTGGTTCTGGTAACCACAGCCAGGATGCTGGTTCTGGAACCACAGCCAAGCTGGTCATGGCACAGCAGATGGGACTTTAAATGTCATTTACTGTGGGCACCGTTTACAGCCTGGTGACAAAGGGGCTGCTGCCTTGTCCCCAAGGCAATGCAGAACCACAGGGCCTCTCCTCTTGGGTGTTGTTGATTGAGAAGTTTAAAAACACTAATGAACTTGTTAAAAACATTAATGAACAAGTTCACATTTGGAGTGTGTTGTGCTGATGGCATAATGGAAATGTTGAAAAAAATCCCTGGTCTACCTGTTTCTTTTTCATAGATAAGGAGGGTGCAAAGTTTGCTACAGGTTTGGTCTTTGCTGTTTCTTCCTGCTCCCCAGGATATTCACTCTGGGGATGTGAAAGACCTGTCTATTGAAATAAATCACACAGGACTCCATTTTCTTCATGCTGGAAAAAGCCCATTCTTTATTCACATATTCACTCCTTTTTATACAGTGTTACAGACCTTGTGTGTGACTCCAATCGGTCAGTAGCTTTCTTGTTTATTACTTTATTGGTTAGTAAAAGGTATTTTACTTGTCCATCAAATCTCTCTACTCTTAAATACTTTACATGTTTTCTTCACTGGTTCTCATGGGATGGATTTAATGTTTCTGTAGGTACTGCTTGTTTTTCACCTAGGAATACATTATGTTAAGGAACTGCTCACACCAGGATTATTCCCATGTGGGAATTTGTAAAGTGCTAGCTTGGCTTAGAAGAAATGACAGGCTATCCATTTAACAGAGCAGGCCTGATTTTGTGAGGCCTTTCTTTTATAATTTTTCTACCTTACTGCAACACCTGTCTTTTAGCTATTTTCTTTTATAGTGCTGATCCTGATTAAGTTGACATCAGCAGTTTAAAAATGTGCTACTTGGTCTAAGCAATGCCATGAGCTAACACTAACAGATCTAAGATGTTTTTCCTGTAAAAGTACTATTTTTTATATTGTGCATTAGAGCTGGCATCCTGCTACACACAGAATGCTTTTCCTGTGAGGTGAACATGAAAGAGTGGAGCATGTTCACCACATGAGTGATCTCTTGAACTCCTACACCTTTTTCTCTCTTTCCTCTGCTCATGTGTATTCCTACAAGTGACCTTCCCAAGATGAGAAGGCAGGGATGAAAGGAGTGTTATATTTTCTTGTGCAATATATTCTCTAACTGAAACTGTGTGGCTCCCAGTGTGTGTGTTTGATACACCCACTGATGGTGCTCCTGGGGTCTGACAAAGCTCCAGAAAGCTGCACAGTGAGGGTTACAGCTTTTCTTCAAAAACAACAGCAGCAAATGCTCTTCCAGCAGTTCTCCTGCTCCCTCTGCTCAGAATCCCCACCTACAGCCCTGGGTGCCTGGGCTGAGGAAGGGAGTTGCTTTATTTTCTTTTCCTATTGCTTACATCCAGGGGTTATCAAACCATGGCCAGAGCTTTCTAATTTAAACTCAGAAGTCTTGGGCTGTTGTCACTGGCAAGAAAATATGAGCAGAACACCAGAAAATCTTGAGTTGTGTTCTTCCATGTTTACCTGGTGTGTTTATGAGAGTCCCAGGCACCACAGAGGTCAGACCCAAAGCATGCACTGACTCTGTGGGAGGAGGATTCTGCTTCTCTCCCACTCAGGTGCTTGCATCAAATAGGATATGCTCTGTCCCTTCCCTTCCCTTCCCTTCCCTTCCCTTCCCTTCCCTTCCCTTTAGAAGTTTTTTAAATCAGGAAAAAACCAAATTTGCCAGCAGGTCTCACCATTGTGCATGTGGTGGGTGTTTCTTTCTTTATTCGTTACTATTGAGAGCAATTGCTTTCCTTTCATTTCTTCAAAGTTCCTTTTATTAGAGTGAAATCCCCTCACTTTTAATGAGGAAAGCAAATGGTTGTGTCCGAAACAGGTGTAGTTTGTATAATCTCTGAAGTGTATGTGGGGTTTTGTTGGCCAGTTGACTTGAAAGAGGAAAGATTATTTTTGGCTTGTTCCCTAGAATCTTGCCTGTTCAGGAGCCAACAAAACTGTAAGAACAAACAGTTCATTATTTACTTTGTCAACCAGTTCCTAGCAGTAATTAATCCATCACTTGGTTCCAGTGAGCCTCAGCAAAGCTTCCCAAAACAAGACATTACAGCAAAGCACAAAATCTCTGCAGTGAAACACTCAATCTGTGAGGTGGGAATCCCAAAGCAGCAGGCATCCAAAGTGTTGGAATTGAAATATCTCAATAGCTGGTAGTTGGACAGTTTTATCCTCATCTTCCCTGCTGCACCAAAAGGTGGCTATTGATTAGCCCTGAGTGTTTTCCATGGTGCTAGGAGTGATGAGTGATGTAGGGTGAAGATTTCAGTGTTCACTCATTCAGTCACATTTTGTGAGTAGTCTCAGCTTTGTTTTATTGTATTCCAAGCTGCATTTTATTGGTTGTGGATAAGGAAACTATGGTAACCACATTATTCTTAGCCTTCTTGGAAGAAACAGCTTTCAAATAAACAGAGAAGGCTGAAATACATTTTCAAGGCTGTTGGCAGACCAAGTGTTGCATTAAAGAACAAAACACCCAACCACTGAGTTTTAGTTCATTTTGGATCAAGAGAAAATGATTATGAAATAAAAAAGAAACCTTTCATAAAACTAGAATAATTTATTGGCAAGAACACTAGAGGGATGAAAGAAAGCTGGGAAGGTTGTATAGAGCCCACCTAAGAAGATCAGCATGAGAGTGTGTAAGAGCCAAAAAAATCAATCAAAAAGTAATAATAAGGGTTTGGGATGAGAAAAGAGGCAGGGGAAGTAATTTTCTTGGGGCATCTGTTTGACATTCTTTCAAATGCTTTTGTGATGCTCAGGAAAAGAGATTTTTGTGTTTAGATTGTACTTGGTAGAGTTTACTTTGTGTTTGCTCCAGCTAAAGACCCTGTCCTTGTATTTTATTGCATCCAGAATATCACTGGCTGAAAATGCAGCAAGAGAAAAATCTGTACTGCAAATGCATTGTGATTCTGTCCTTCCAGTTCTCCAGAAATGTCATATATAGCACAGATCCAGCTTCAAGCTTTGTTAAATGTGTTAGATGCAGTGGGAAGTGGGGAGCAGGAGGGATTGGGCACATATAAACCTGGCTCTGGAGTGACCATGGATGATAAGCTGTCTCGTTTTCCCCACTAAGTAATTGGCCTGGGTGAGGAAGCTTGGACCTCTTTGCTTGGTAACATCAGAGGTGTCCTGAGGGTTTGTTGTGTCCTGCTGTGGGAAGGGCCTGTCACCATCATATTTTCTGAAAAATCCTCTTTGCCCAGGATTCTTCTCCTGGGAAGCTGAGAAGCCTCAGAGAAAAAGGAAAACAATATTATCTCATTTGTTTCTCCTGTGTTTTGCTGCTTTGGAATGTGGTTTGGAGATTGTTTATCCAACATGTGAATTATTTTGACTTAATGAACCAATCAGGGTCAGGCTGTGACAGAATCTGAAGACAGAGGCATGAGTCTTTCATTATTATCCTTTAGCCTTCTGTAAGTATCCTTTCTCTATTCTTTAGTATAGTTTTAGTATAGCATTCTTTAATATAATATCATATAATAATAAATTAGCCTTCTAAGAACATGGAGTCAGATTCTCAATTTCCTCCTCCATCTGGGGACCCTGAAAACACTACTCCTGCTCTGCAAGAAATGCAGCTGCAGTTCAGCATGGCCCTTGCAGCCCTCCATGAACAGCACCGTGCCCATCTTGTGAAAGCAAAGCTCTGAGTGTTCAGAAAATAACAGCTAACTCCCAATT